TAATAATGTAATTATAGTTTAAAAAATAAAGTAATCCATAATCTAAATCTAAAATCTTAAAACAAACCAATAATTCATTTCAAACCTGTCATTTCACATTCAGCAATTATTGGGGAGAGTGAACATAAGGTGCATCAACTAATGGTTGTATGTAAGAAATATCATCATGCATGTGCAATTTATTTACCCTTTCAATGCCCTAATTCCAACCATGTTCAACATTAGGAAATAACAAAAGATACTAAAGAGGGTCATAACATCCAAAATAATAGTGCACTTTATATTTGCTACTAGAATGAGCATAATAGATATGTCACGATTTTCAAAATTTTCTGATATTCCATTAACTACCAAAATAGCAGCAACTTGTGATGTTGTTGGAGTGTTATGGACTCTCTGATCCATATTTAAAGCAGATATAATTTTTATATGATGACTTTGTAGATTAAGAGTATTAGTTAAACTTCTAAAAAAATTTGCGTAAGGATTAACATGTAAGATGTGAAGTAATTTCTCTACAATTGATTGAGACAATCCATCCGATATTTTCAATCGATTTTGTATCTCATTCTCGATGTCGTAAAAATAAAGCTGTAAATAAGAAGGCTTAGAATCTATAGGAAGAAAAATATTCAGGTAATGATATATCTGTCCCTGAATTCTAAAAGTATATATTCCTTTGTTCCTTCTACACAAGTCTTTATCACATTTTACTCCAAATGAAGTAAATGCGAAACTACAATTATAACTTCAGATATAAGTCCTAAATTCAACCGATTCATTAGAGAAGTATGTAAATAAATCATAAAATTTCGGAGGCACATTATTTATCTTTAATCGAATGGTTCCATCAGAACAACAGAAACCTTTACATCCTCCTTTAAATTTTTTTGATCCACAGAAATTACAAACTGTTGGAAGAGGTAACAAATAACTCTGGGTTGGAATTTGTTGTAAAATGTGTATATTTGAACTACTTTCTTTTGATGAAGAAGTAATACCTAACAAATAGTATTTAGCAATTAATTCCAATATATAAACATAAACTCGAAAAAATAAGCAAAAGTATAACTTGCCTCTGTCACATTCTTCTTTGTCGGTTTCTTGACCAATACTTCTTCTAAATACAGAATTATCTACAATGCAAATAAAGCAAAAAGCAAATATAAGAAAATTTTAAATTGAAAAAATATATAATTAAACCAAAAATAGAATTTATATAACTACGTATTCTCGGTGCTTTTCTATCACGAGAGGTCTTCATTTTCAATCATCGTTTTTTTGCAATTCTTGTGCTTGGAATTCTCATGAATTTGTTTATTTTGCCACAGAATCCATTAGACAAAGAACTAAACACAAATAACAATTTTAAGGACTAGAATTAGAATTAAATGATGACAGTAAAAAGAAGAAAAAGAAGAAAAGTTGCCAACACCAATTAAAGAAAAAAAAATTTAGAGCCTAAATTTACAGGGAAAAAAAAAGCAAAAGAAAGTAATGATAATGTAAGAACAGTTATTTACACTAAATTAAAAAATTTAGAAACACATGCTGAATTAATGATTAATATAAAAAATTAAAGCTTAAATGTTGCACCCAGGTAAAATTGTCAACATACACATTCATACACTTGCATATTCATACTTCCAAAGAATTAGAATCCAAAAATTTAGCAAACGATTATATAATATAAACCAAAAAAGGAGGAAAAAAACAACACCCACCTTGTATATTTAAAACATGTTAAAAGGAAAACGAAAAAGATCGAAAAATACGTACACGAGATCAAAACGATTTTCCAGCAAAATTATAGCAATGGTGAGTAGGGAAAGAAATACAAAAAGAAGAAAAATAAAGAAGAGGTTTAGGTTGTAGGAAATATAGTAGTTGGCTGGTTGAGTGCAAGGATAGAGAAAGGGGAGAAATGGTCTAGGTATTGGTTGAGAAAAAAACGAAATAAAAAAAATAAATTGGTGAAGGGCTCAGTTTTTTGACACGTGTCTTGGAGTGTTTCACTCTTTTATATATTTAGGATAGAGTTACTATGATGACCAAACAATTGAGAGAATGAGAGTTGAGATTATTTTGTCATTTGTGATATTTGATTTGAGAATTCTTTGAAAATTTTTATATATCATATATGTGAGACTATTTGAAATTTTTTGAGAATTGTTATTTTGAATTTGTGATAGTGATCACCCGTATGTGTTTTTGTAGAATATATAGTCAATAAATTTGATTGTGTCTCATTAATTTTTAATGTCTATCTTCATCACTGAGACCCACCATGGTGATCTTGCCACTGAGAGCAGATGGTTTGGATGCACTAGCAACAGGCGAACAAATCCTTTGCTGGTCTTGTTCGCCATTCTCCTCAATCTCCATTACATCACCAATTTTCTCCTAACTTTCTTCAAATAGTGAAATGAGATTCTGAAACATGTAGAATTCTTGCTTATGTTAATTTCAATAAATTGTAATTTGTGAATTTCATAATTAACAATGGAAGTGACTCTAGCTATGCACATCTAACAGGAAAACCAAATACAGTAAAATATTTCATTAAAGTAGTTTTTGGACACTTCATGTCTTCATATGCATTGGTGGACCTACACAAGGTTCTAGTGGGTCACTTGACCGACCAGCTTTAATTTTTTTTTATTTTTTTTTTCCTTAAAAACTAAAAGTTGGAATTGGGCAATAATGATAGTTGTTTTTTTTTTTTATTTATTAAAATAGAGTTCAAAAAATGATCGAACAATTGTTAGAGTGAGAGTTGAAATTATTTTGTCATTTTTGATATTTAATTTGAAAAATCTTTAAAAAAATTTATTTATCATACATGTGAGATTATTTGAAATTTTTCAGGAATTGTTATTTATTATATATATGAGATTTGTGAATCTATGATAGTAATCAGGTGTCAGTGTTTTTGTATAATACATAAATTTTTTTGTAACTTTTTAGTAAATTTAATTGTGCCCCACTAATTCCAAATGTTTGCGTCCGTCATTGAATCATATGTCCGTAGAAATCTTAAAAGGCCGTTGAACGTACATGTCGAAGTACGTTAATTTAGATAGGATTTTATTATTATTATTATTATTTTTGGAGTTGCTATTTACATTTACAGAAGTTATATATATCTATCCCACTTTATATCCATCTCCATTGAAATTCTTATAAAAAAAAAAAAAAAAAGCCCTATTCTCTTTCACACCACATTCCAATATTGTCCTTATTAAATTAATTCATTTAAACGCTATACATCGACATTATTTTTATATATCATCCCATCATAATTTCTTCAATTCTTTTATTTATCTATCCACACAATTTTTATATATCTATACATCCACACCATTTTTAAGCCCTAGCCACCCACTTCTTCCACCTTATTTTTCCTTGAGCTCCTTAGTGCCGCTCTTCCTCAATCTGTCAACTGTAGTCTCGTTGCAAAAGGAAAAGTGGTATGTTTCCTCTCGACCATAAAAATTGTTGTCTAGTTAAACATGAAAGTTGGAATAATTGAAGTTGTTCGATATTGCATATTGCAGTGGAATTCTCCCTTGTTTGAGCCCATTTCTGGGGAAAGAATGAATTTTTGAATAGTGTATTGATAATAAATGTGTGGTTAAAAAATAAAGAAAATTTTTAAATTTATGTGTAATATTATTTTATTAAAGAATGTGTAGTTAAAATGATTTTTCAAAAATATGGGGCTCAAACAAGGAAAATATAGACTATAATAGATGATTGATGAATCTAGTTAAATGCTTCATTTTTTTTCCTAAAGCATATCTATTAGCGTGAAGCTTGGTGTGGTTTTTCCCTTCTTTCAACATGCATGTTGAATACTGTATCAGTTTGTGTGCTCATTTCGATGCTGAGGCATTTATCTGCTATGTATAGTTGGCATAAGGTGCGTAACATAACTATTATTTGAAGCAGTAAAAAGAGTTTCAGAAATTTCTTCTTTTATCTGCCCGAAATGGTCGTGAGGATACTGACGGTGGTGCTGCAAAGAAAAGATAGGAAACCTCAACAATTTTCTTCAAAAGAATTTTTAGTAAGAATAAATATTAGAGCATAAATTTAAATTTTTGGAGTTGAATTAAATTATAAGTAAATTAAGCACGTGTTTGTATCTCTTTAAAATGAGAATTCACATTTTTCAACAGTAACTTGGGCATTAGAAAATTTCGGTGGCACAGTACATTTATAAGATGAGAAATTTTTTACAGATACCATTTAAAATTGAAGGACCATTATACCCTCACTTTCATAATTCTGTTCTCAAAAATACTCATCTACTTATAATTGCACATTATTTTCCATCACTAATGTACTTGAGGGTAAGATGGGACTGTCAAATTATAGACCCGCCATTAGTATTTCAAAAGTCAAGTGAAGATAATTACTTGCTCCAACTTATTTGCACCATCAATCAATGTAGACTCACAGCGACAACAAAAAAAATTGGCCCAATCTTATTATAATGGGGCTCAAACGAGGGCTAAATTTTTTGAGTTATAATATATCTAACAATTATTAATTATTATTGAGCATTTTCAATTAAAGACTGTTAAAAGACTATATATAATGGCAGAAGTAGAAACAAAATGTTTCCCATACATTCATGCTAGTATAATTTGAAGTTAAACTAGAAATTAATTGTTTTGCTTGTTGAGTGTAAATTTTGCAATACTTTATGAGGAAATGAAATTATAAAGTTATAAATGAATGGTGAATAAATAAACAATACTTGTGAATCCCTTAAAATGTTAAGATAAAAAGTGACTTGCTTATAAGTAAACAATTTTTCATAATGAGCCAAATATAGAGTATACAATAAAACAAAAATTGCAGCTAGAATCCCCAAAGCATGGTATCATAGCTAATTGAATGCTAAAGGAAAAGAACGCCTTTCATGTCAACCATCATCCTTGTCAGTTGTTCGTGAATCCGTTTCAGACATGGAATAGCTATGAAATCCAAGTGAGAAAAGTGAAGAAGCAAATTGAAATACACACATATTGTGATTCATTATCAGTACAATATCTTAAACATTTGTGCTCATTGGACTATCAATTGCATTGTTCAGTTTACCTGTAAGAACTAAGCACTTGAACTACATGAGTAATGATAGATGCAATCCTTAATTTTTTAGTTCAAACGACCTGTCTAGTACTTCCTGATAAGGAGAACCACTGTGTGCGCTGCAATACTTCTATTCTCCCCAAGACTGTCAACTTTTTCATGAGTTTTCGCTTTCAGGTTTACGGCTGAAGGGTCTGCACCAAGTAGCTCACACAAATTGGCCCGGATCGCCTCCTTGTGTGGGCTTACTTTAGGTCTTTGCAGAATCAAAGTTGCATCCAAGTTTCCAAGTTCATAACCTTCCTCGTGCATTAGCCGGACCTAACATGAACCATGTCACGAGAACATCATAGATTGTAAAAGAAAATCCATCCACAAATTACGTGGTTGGTGAAATCTCAACACTCTTACATGTAAACTGTAAAGAAAATCAGAAAATAGCAATACTTGATCAATAAATGTAGTTACAAGTTTGTAAGAATAATTGAGAAAAATATTTACGAAAATCTGATGGATTCTTTTGCTTTCTCATGACAAGGTGTGTGTATGGTGTGCGTCTTGAACCCAATTTGTCTAGAGGTTCTTTTCAATGAGTTGCATTTGTAATTTCCAACGAACTCTTCTACAGATGTCCTATATTTAAGTCTTGATCCATCCTACCTCGTGTGTCACTGCAATGAGACTTAACAAGGTATATCCCGTGGTACTACATCTAAGAAGCAGATAATTTCAGTGAGCAAATTATGCGTCGATGAGGCAAATTTTGTGAATGACAAATAAAGAAAGCCAAGACCTTTAGCAAATTTACAAATAATTTATAAATTGGTCAAATTTCATTTTCATCTACACAATCCAATGGATTTACATGTACTATTCACTTACCAATCACTCATTTCTATCTATTTATAAATTAAACCGTTCATAAATTCTTCCCAGATGGAGGCTTACATTTGACACAAGGTGCCAGGTCTTGAAACACATTATACTAACAATTAGCTGAAAAAAAAAAGTGAAAACTAGCCACAAAATTATTAATTTGACCTCATATACTAAGTGCCACCCAATAAACGAAATTGAAATGATCCTGTTTTAGCACAAGCTAAAGAGTAAAAAATAAAAATAAATATAGTAAACATATGTGTGTGTATATAAATTAACCAATAGTGTCCAAAACACCATATTCTATAATCAAGAAAAGAGAGAGACAAAATAAAGAAGAGCTCACAGCTTCTTTGATGAATACAGATGATGCCGCGCCTTTCCATTTAGGATCGTTGTCTGGAAAGATTTGCCCTATATCTGGAAGCCCCAATGCCCCCAATATAGCGTCAACCACACAATGTAGCAATACATCACCTAGAAATATGAGAATTATATCACTCTATATGACAATTTCTTGACAACCATCTTAAAAATTGCATGTTACTCTGCTGTTTATCGACTCATAATAGAAGTGATAAACTATGTTATTTAATGACAACTGTGTTTGTTCTATGCATCTTCCCATTTAGCAAATCCCCATAAGGGCTCACATGAACATTATGGAAAACATAAGAGTGAGCTGGACCTTTCAAGAAAAGCAGCAGGAATATAGTTTTACCAATTTTTGTAATATTATTACACATGTTCCAAACTGAATCCTACTTTTTTTATGTCATGTTTCAAAAAATTACCACTATTCATAACAAATATTATTGGAAATTTATACTTTTGATAAGTAAATTAACTAGCATAATATAAATTACTCAATCAAACGATACAGTTTCATTTTGGACTTAGGTATTGAAGGAAAATATAATATGTACGTTAAAATATTATCCTTATCTAACACTGTTATCAATCCAATCAAAAGAAATGCAAACCGAAAAGCAAGAACACTCCAGATTTATCGTCATTTGGTGTTAAATCACCTCCATCCAAGCAAGCCAAAACTGCAACTCTCTCAGCACTATGTCAAAAGGAAGGCGGTTCAAACTAAAAAGATTCAGACTATAACATAATTGAATTATACCAAGAGAAGCTAAGACTTGGAAACTATAATAGTGGATTTTTTCTAGTGCTCTTAACAACATTTCCACTCTTCTCACTAATGAATGCCAACTCCTTTTAAGAAGAACGTTGATGCCATTTCCCTTTACCAGGGATAACTCTACTAAAAGTTTATAGAACCACATCATCTAAAACAGGGGCAGAGGGAGGGGGGAGGCCTGGGCTAAAGGCCCAGTCAAATTTTATAAGGTAAAAAAAAAAAAAAAAGGGAATTTATTTATTATTAATTAATTAATTTATTTATTTATTTTTATCTATCAGTCATGTATAATTTTTTTTGTCCCCCCGGCCCCGCCTCTTAGATTCTAAAATCAAGCAACATATTTATTTTTTCAAAGTTAATCTTCACTAGGCCTCCTCACATATATGTTGAATTCATCTATGATTTATCATCAAAGGCTTTGCACGTCAATAATTTTTATAAAGGGGTCGCGGTAATACTTAAACCACCTCCTCTAAAACTCTAAAGTTTAAACTTTTCCTACTTTCAGAGGAATACATTTCTTCAACTCATCTAAAAGCTTAGGCTTCTAAAGAAGAAATTTTTTTCTCTATAGTCTTCAAATAGTTTCTAATCAACTGCAATAAAAAGATAAGCCTTACTCCCTGTTTCTAATCTATCTTTCAAAAGGACAACATCACAAAGAACTAATTAATGACAATGGAGTTTCAGTTTCCAACATCCAAGTCAAATGGGATGTATAATTTGTCACATACAGTCAGCATAAGTCTGATATTGTTCTAAATTAGGGATTTAGATTCTTCATAATTGTATTTATCAGGGGAAAAGAAAAGAAAAGAAAAGAAAAAGTTAAATAATAAAAATACAAATACAGACAAACACGAGTATAGATATTATTGCTTACCATCGGAGTGAGCTTCACAGCCTCGATCATGAGGAATATTAATCCCACCGATGATCAGCGGATAACCCGGCTCAAGCCGGTGCAAATCGAAACCGTGGCCGACTCGAAAGGGGAGCAATTTGGCTGGAGTCACGAATGACTTCTGAGTCTCGGCTTCCACTGCGCTGGTAGCCGCCGGCACCAACGAGGAGGAGTTTCTTGCTGTAGATTTTAGAGAGAGAAACAGCGAGTTCCGCGTAAAGCACGCGCTAGACGGTTTGTGCTGGAGGTGTAATTTGGACAGAATTTTGTTAGGAACTGGAGTTGTGTAGTGGGCTGAAGTCGCCATAGCCATTCGGATTGAGCTCTGTACCGTGTGTAGTTCGTGAGAGAGGGGAAGAGAAGGAGGCTCTGGTTTTTGACTTTTTCCGGCGTGCTGGGAAATGAGAATAATGCTATAGCTCGTGTGGCACGGGGCTTGGTAGCCTTATATTATAATTTAAATAAATAACGTCCACTTGAAAATTGACCGTGTTTGGCTATACTTAAAAATAAGTGAAATATACTTATTAATAATATTTTGTTTAGAAATATTATTTGAAATTGTTGCTTTTTTTTTTTCCTTTTTTTTTTTTTTATACAATTTGAATCAATAACAAAATATAAAAAATCCCTTTTAACACATCTTATGAACTCTCTTTATTTTTTTGGGTTCAAGATTGATCATACTTTTGAAATTGAATATATTCAGTGGTCTATAGAATTCATTTAATCTAAGCTTCCGTAGGCGTGAAACTTTACATTACAACCAAGCCAAGTTTTACACTTAGACTCGTAAAACATTGAAGTTTAATCTTATTGTTTGAATAATACTATTTACAGTCACTCACTACTGCAGTCGCCCTAGGTGACATGCATGTGACGGTTAGTGATTTGATATACGTGACAAGAAAAAACTACCACATTGATATATCATATCACAGACTATCACATAGGACGACTACCGCAGTAAACGATTATAAATTGCATTACTCTTACTGTTTAGACACACTTTTAACCTTTTTTAGTAAACTAATCACTTCATTACACTGTTTAGTATTCTGATTACGACAATAATGCTAAAGGTTTGAGATGCGTTTGTAATGGGTGCTCAAGGCTAGAAACTTGTAACAGGTCCTCATGGCTAGAAACTAATGTGCAATTTTGCATTTTTCTTTCGAGGTTGTATATTTTACGCAACTTTTTCTGATTAATCTTGAATTCGACTGAAGAGAGTTGAAGTAGAATAAGCAGAAACCTAAAATGTCAATTTAATTAACTTATTGAATGAATAATTAGATATAATGTTTGAAGTCAATGCCGTAACTTAGTTTATATACTGGAGAAGAATATTAAATTAGAACAGAGAAGAAAATTAAACTAACGGTCCATATCCGTTATATTTTTATTTATATTAAACTCGAAGCTTGTTCTGCTTTTCGCACTATTACAAATATACTTTGTATCATGAGATATAAACATTTGCGATTTAACATTTTCGCGTGTAAGCCTAAGATGCACGACATGTATGTGCGGCGATGGCCAAATTAGGTAGAAATTTATTAACCGTTTGATAACTTTATTAATCCGGGGTAATTAAGTTTACAACAGTAAGCAGGAGCTATGAGTTTACAACACATTTCTACTACTGTAATATGTACAAGAAAATACCAGAAAGCTCAGAGGGAACTATCCGAAGAAGAAGCTCTAGGATGCTTGTTTGCATGCTCGGGTGACAGATTTTCCGAAGCAGCTCTCTTGGGTCTCAACTGAAAGAAGAAACGAAAAAAGAAATTAGACTGGAAAAAGATAGTTCGACTAGAAATTCGTGTAATGGATATGAAGGATCAATTTTTGATGAATACTAACCTTCTCTTCCGCACGCTGATAGAAGTGCCTCAGAAGTATATTTTTCGCGTCTGAAGTAATCACTGTTATGTAAAGAAAAGTAGATGACATGTCGAGCAAAAAGGTTTAGAAATGGTTAAAACCCAATAACAACAAACTAAGTCTTGTTCTCAATATTTGAGGTCGGCTACATGAATCTATATTATGAATTTATTGAACATGTAGTTTCCTGATTTCTTGGGCAATATCCTTATTAAAAAGCAGGGCTGAGACCCTATTTAATAAAATATTCTAGTCCTAGGGGGGGAAAATATTAATAGCACGTTTTAATCTTAAAAGTTATTTAAACTAAATTTAAATAACTATTTGTTCCCAAACATTCTTCAATAAATTACTTTTGCCTTATTGTTAGCGAATTTCCTTGCGCATAAGTAGTGACCTGTACGAATGGTGTAACAACTGCCCCCACTTATCTCTAACATGGACCTAGTGAATTTGAATTTCCATGATGTGGAGTACCAATGGCTAGACGGTAAGACCCCCCCCCCCAACTATAGCTTCACAGTAATAAAAGAAGTCACTTATTTTGATAGTAAAATGGAAATTACTTTCAAAAAGACAGAATAATCAACTTTGACCAAAAAAAAAATTATGAAAACTTGCTAGTCACTTATGAGTAAACTTACTTAGAAGTAAATTGGCTTAGCTAATATGCTCGAGGTCCTAAACAAATTTTTAAATCTCAGGATTTGGGGATCCCTGAATCTATGAATAACCTACGTAGAATGGACAAGGGGAAAAGATTCTGTATATCCATATGTCAGGAAATATAATGATATAAAATCAAATATACTAAACTAAGAAGTATCAGCTATTTACATTACCTTGATCAGGTGGTGGGATGGTCCGGTCATGTGTTGGCCGATAAGTAACAGGAGTCTTTTTCTAGAGACACAAAAAATACATTCAGGATACGAGACAAAATATGTGTATTTAAGTACAGCAGATGAAGAATTTTTAGATCTTGAAACGAATAAACCAACTCATTATCCATGATAAACAGCTTCAAGATTGAACCATTTACAAATGTATAAATGTCTTTAAAGAAGATGCGAAACTCCATTCAAAATGAACAGTTATATGAAATTTGAATATAAATAATTTGAAATCATCCTCTCATTTTAGAATTTTGGTCACTCACTAGAAGTTCTATGATTCTCTAAACCAAGTCATTGTTTCCATTTGCATTTTGGTTCCAGCAAAAAGCAAAAATAAGTTATAATGTTCCACTAAGCACATGAAAGATTAGTAATACAAACAGAGCGGACTGAACTGCCTAGAGCTATGAGTTAAAACTTAGTATTAAGTCATCATGATATCTAAGATTTACCAGATAAATCCAAGTATATTTTATGTTGATCAACCCCTCCCATTAAGTGGTTCTATTTGTCACATTTACCATAAAACTGATGCCACTGGCATGATCACCACTATCTTTCATGATCTCTGTTGGCTATTTAGTCCAATCAAAACCAATCTCAAATCAGAAACTCTGAATAGTGATAACTAATCGAGCAAAACTTTGTTTTGTTAATAGAACCCTCACGTTCACAGTGAACAGAAACCATTGCAAAATGATTTTGAAACAGCTGTTATGAGCAAAGCCCGGCTGCTCGTGATCATATCAGTAGATTAGCATACTCTATTTTCGTTATATCTCCCCAGTCTTGTCTTATTTCAGGTAAAACAGAAAGCCAGATGTTAAATTTCGATTCCTCATTGTGCTCTCTTCTGACATTCATGCCAACAAAAATTGCCACATTAATCTATGCCCTATTCAATAGTGTACCACATTAAACAAGAAGTGCCCCAACTGCCAATCGTTTTACTTTCAGGCCGATTGCTTGTAAAATCACTTAATATGGTAACACAAAGCTCCATTTTTGGCTCTAGAATAATTCTTGGTTTAAATCTCCTTAGCTTCTGGGTGGTTGTTCATGAAAATGCCTATATTGAATCCTTCAAATATCTGCTCCATTGTTTACTAATACTTAAAATAAATCCTTTCCCATTCTAAGTGATCGATTTGGAACGTGTTTAAGTATGTTACATCCAAGTGCAGAACAGTAATCCACTCTTTAATCCTTGGCTCAAATCAACCGTAAACTCGTGCAATCAATCAAAAGCCTGGAAAATTAGAGGGACAGAGGGGAAGGGGAGGCACAGCGTCTTATGCAGTGGGTCCTTAAAGGAGGACAAAAGAATTTAATCTTACAACGGTATACTCTAAAAAAAGCATGGCATGTCACCATTTCGATTTCCCGCAAAATGGGTTCTAACAGTAGAGGTCTTTCTTGGCCTAAAAGCTCCTAGAGCCTCTATACTCTTTCTGCGTTTTGATTAACGAATGAATCAAAACTAAACTCGGGCAACTTACAGAATTTTTACTTCATAAGCATAGACACCAAAACAAATAACAATTAAATCCGCATGCCAACTTCTAATTATTATGATTCTGTTGATAGGGGAATGCTCTGCATAAGAAAAAAGTTACAGCATAAGCAGAATAAGTTTGATCCAACACCAATGATTCCAAATGTTGCTTAACTATAGTAACAATACATATATTAGTAGCAAATGGAATTAGAACGACAAACATCAGCTCCAGAAGTTGCCTCATGATTAAAAAATCTAGTAATATGTTCATATGTGGATGACACAAAATGACTGGCACATAAAACCATCAGAACATATATAATTAACCCAACTACGCCAGGATAACAAAGAAACAAACACAAACAATCAATATGGATTAATCATAAGTCTTAACATCTACCTATCAACAATGCAAATGCATTGCTGAATTCATGTATAAGCAAGGAAGTAGGTTTAAGAAAGATGAACATCAACATCCATAAACTGTAGCATCAAGCCAAATGTGCTCAAAACTTAAATCATTATAAATCAAACATATCTATCTAGCAGTAAATCTGGGTAAATCTCCCAGAACAATTAAATAAATCCTAATCTTGCAATAGGCCCATAAACCACAGCATACTTATTTCTCCAACAAAGCTTCAAACTTCATTTCTTGTGGGCATTTCTTGAACAGAAACATGTGGACGTTAACTAGTCGTGAAACCAAAAAATCATAATTAAACAGAAATTTTTTTTCAAGGTTTCTTCTAGAAAACCAAATGGGCTATCAAAGACAACATAAAGCTAGGTTCTTACAGAAGGATTGGAAGGATCAGAGGGTCGTAACTGGCTGAAATTTTGAGGGTTGACAGAAGGCCAATTACCCAGCATTGAATCCATTACTTATCTGTCAATGGTATAGATAGAAGAATCCAGAGAACTATGCAGACTTTTACACACACACAGGTGGTGTTGTAGGAGAATTACCGTTCGAACAATTAGGTTTATGGGCCTTGTGGACAAGTGGGTGTCGGCAAAGACCAAAGAATTCCTACTCATGAAGGAAATTTTCTTGGGAAAAAATCATAATTCCGGTGTAATCCTTACACCAATTCAGGTACTTAGTTTAAAAAATCAAAATTTAGGTATCTATATAATTAATTAAAAATATTTATTAATTAAATATAATAAAATCATAGTTACACAATAAATGGTCACATATTCACGATTATAGGTTACAAATTTATTTACTGGTCACATGTTATCAAAATAATTGGTCACGGATTATTTCGAGATCACAAATTAAAAATTTTATAGGTCACAGTTTATTTTCAGGTCACAAATCAAAAATTTACAAGTCACAAATTATTTTAAGTCCAAATTACTTGGTTACATATTATTAAATTTTTAGGTTACACTAAATAGATAGTCACAAATAACTAAATAGTTGGTCACATACGTCAATTTTTTAGTTACAAACAATCAAATCATCTATGACCACCGCCAACATTTGTGACCACCATCTCACCACTACCACCAACCACATAGCCGTCAAAATCGTCGCTGCCACCACCACCATCTCTAGCAGCCCCGTCATCTCAGATACCGCAACTGACACCACCTCACCACAAACAAAACAAATACAAAACCATCAACACCCTACAACAGTCATTATTGCAATGTCATCACTAGTTCACCATCTCCACCACCACCACAACCACCATTTATATCAACAAAAACTATCACCCGCACAACACCACCACGACCATCACTAATCACAGCAACATTGGTCGGTAAACCACCACCAGCGTCATCGACCCTTACTACCGCACCACCACCACCATTGAACACCACTGTCAGAGCCATCCCTATCACAACAGAAAATCAGTCAACACCATTCACATTACCAACAGCAATCCACCGTCACATCCACCGATTGAACACCTATACCTCTACCTCCACCGCACCATAGCACCACCATCATGACACCATAGCATATCATTGCCGCACCACACACCTGACACCTCCACTGCACCGTACACATCCACCACCGAACCATCAATCACCACCACTTAAGTTTAAAAAAAGAAAAAGAAAAAGTAAGTGAGCTAATCTGTAGCTCACACAGCTGCTACTGTTGAGAGAAGAGAAATTAGGAAGATCCTCTTCCAGTGGCGACGCCGCTACTGTTGAGAGAAGAGAAATTAGAAAGAAGAGAAGATACGTGATTGCGTGTTTTTAGAGAAAGAGAGAGAGAAGAGTGGGACGGGATTGGGGAAGCAATCACTCGCTGTGGTCTCCGGTAATGGGCGGCAGTGCCTGAGGCGTGGAAAGAGTGAGGAGAGAAGATGAAGTGAAAATGAAAATCTAGGGTTTGGAATTTGAATGGATAAGATGGGTACCTGATTTGTGATTAAACAAACTTATTATTTGATTTTTGAGTTGTAATTTTGAAATGCCTGGTTTTATGTAATTTTCCCAATTTTCTTTAGGCCCCATTTGTTTTTCATTGTTGGAAGAATGAGAATGAAAAATATAGCTGTTACGAACTCAGAGATAAAAATTCAAATTTAGTAACTTAATATGATGAATAACGATCATATTTCCCATTTTAATGAGGAAAGAATGGAAAACAAATGAGGGTTTAGTTTCACATCAAATGAAATTTATTTATATAGTTGGACAAAACTTTCGAATTGAATTGGATTGAAATTGGATGCAGTCGAATCAAATCGAATCAAACTATCCTCCTTAACTTAAATTTTTTTTATTTTTTTCTAAATAAATTTGTCAACTAATTAATTGAGTTCAAAATTATGACTAATTAGTACATAACATTCTTATTTTTCACTATTATTGGGGAAAACATCCTTATCTTTCAATTTTTGGCATTTTCATCTTTATTTTTACTTTTCATTACATAAAATATGATTTTCATTCATTTTTTCAATTAAAAATTGTGAAATGACGAATATATCATTTTATTTAAATAAAAAGAAAAGGAAAGGAAAGAACTAGTTGCAATCATAGCTCCAAATCTTTTTAAAAATTGCAAACGAGTCCAAATAAATTAATAAAAAGGTGATTAACACGTATGTCCTTACCTTTCACTATTATTGTGAGAAATGTCTTTACCTTTAATTTTTTTTTTTTTTTTCGTATTTTCACTTTTAATTGCACCTTTAATTACACAAACCATCATTTTTTATTGATTTTCATCTAATTTTTCAATAAAAGCTATGAAATGACGAATGTGCATTCCTATTTAAGTAAAAATAAATAAATAATATTTTAAAATTTCTAATTTTTTAATAATTTTTTTGAGAATCATTTGATAATTTATTTGGGACTCGATTGTAATTTTTAAATTTTTTTAAATTTCTAATTTTTTAATAATTTATTTGAGACTCACTTTTAATTTTAAATTTCAAATTTTTTTAATAATTTGTTTAGAACTCGTTTGTACTTTTTAAAAATATTGGGATTATGGTTGCAATTAATTCTTTTTTATTTCTTTATTTAAATAGGAGGATATATTAGTCAGTTTATAGTTTTCTATTGAGAAATTGGATAAAAATAGATAGAAATGATTGTTTGTGCAATCAAAAGTGTAATTATGATTAAAAATACCAAAAAAAAAAATATATGTGAAAGGTAGAAACATTATGTGCTAATTACCCTTTTATTAATTTTTTTGGTACTCGTCTCCACTTTTTAAGAAAAATTTTGGGACTATGGTTGTAATTAGTTTTTTCCTTTTGTTTTTGTTTTTATTTAAATAAAAGGGTATATTTGTCATTTCACAGCTTTTAATTGGAAAAATTGATGAAAATAACCTTTTGCGTAATGAAAAATGAAAATAAGAGAGAAAATATCACAAAATGAAATGTATGGATGTTTTTTACAGTAATAGTGAAAAGGTAAAGACGTTATGTGGTAAATTTTTCATTTTTCTATTTCATTTGCCAGCTAATTGAGTCCGAATATTAGTTTCTAATAACTTTTATGATGACACGTTAAAGTTTAGTACTCCATTTGAGTGTTGCTTCCATTATTTACTTCGATTAAGTGTGAAAAGTTGAGCAAAATTTGAAAAAAATAATAAAAATAATAAAAATAAAAATAAAAAAGGTGACAAACAAGATCCAAACCCTATTTGTTGCTGCGGGTGGGGTTGTGGCAAATTTGAGTATAAATTCCACAGTTTTTTTTTTTTTAATATAAATTTCAGTTCACATAAACGGATCTTTCAAAGAAAAAAATGTTCATTTGATTGACACCAGTAGAATTAGATTTTACGATAGATTGTTGAGGCAATTAAAAGTTTTTTGAAAAGTAAGAAAATTTTTGAGCTTGACTGGATATAGAATTTTGCAGTGAAGCAATTTCTTTTTAATGAATATTAAGATTTAAAAACAAAAAAAGACTAAAAAATAGTATCTTTGACCCCATGTTTTAACCTGAGCTGTAGTCTAATTTTAGAATGTTTATAATATATATACCAAGAGATCTCTGAATCCCTTTCTTTTAGAATGTATATACAATGTTTATGAAGAACAATCATCTACATGACGTATTATATATAAATACTTTTATAAAGACGGCCAACAATCTCTTATTGAAATGAAGGAGAAAAGACGTATGAATAAGCATCTTGTAAAGGTTTGGACTGTTGAAATTTTTGAGTCCAGGTTGTTGATATGATATCCTAAAGTGGATAACCCGGCCCAATGATTGATCCATTTGACTGAAGATTCTAGAATTAAGATAAAACTTGTTTTGAAAACACGCGTTTACTTGTAAAAGGCGACCTATATTTGATTTCTTACACCTGACAGATGGACAACCGTTGGATCACCTAATAGGCTCTCTTTCTTATAAATAGAGAGATTATTCTAGGGTTGAGAGATTTTTCGAGAACCCTAAGGGTGCGTTTGGTTTGTGTTTTCGTTTTTTATTTTCAGTTTTGAATTCATTTTTAGTTTTCTATTTTGAAAGACTATTTTCGAATTACATAAAACGTGTTTGGTTTGTCATTTTGAAAAACGATTTCTCAAAACAGAAAACTGAAAAATGCGTTTGGTTTAAAATTTTTAGTAATTGTTTTATAACATTTATTTAATTAATTTGATTATTTAGTAAAACATAATAATTTTATGCTAATATATTACCAGATAATATATATTTTAAATTTGGTGAATTTATTAATTTTTTTGCTACAAAAATAAAATAAGATATGCACTAAGCAAAATATTATGATGCAGAAAAGTAAAGAAAAACCCCTAATGGATTTTCTTGACTGAACCCTAATTTCCTCATATTCTAGGACTCTCTCAGGGAGCTCTAGATAAAGGTAAATCAGGGGAGTTCAGAAGAATCCCTAAGCTTAACCCTTAAGAAAAATTCAACAAGTATACAAAATATGGTTCAGTATAAATGTCATCAGAATTGCAGGCTGTGCAAAGAATGCCCAAGTAATACCACAGATCTACACAAGATTCGGGTGGAAGACGTCTTTTTGTACAACAACAATAAATCTATTAGAATTAATAAATTTTCAGGAGTCAATGGAGTCGCAAAATGGATCGAAGAACAATTTTAGAAAAAACATCAAAATCTTGAAAATTTTAAAAAAGGGTTTTGATACCACTATTGTTTCAAATAAATCGACCATTTTGTGACTCAACTATTTTAATAAAAATACATAAAATAAATGGCATGAAAATAAGAACACAAAGAATTTTCGACCTAAAGCCTCGAAAGTTCGGCGACCATTGCTAACACCTAATTTTCCGTTAAGCATCCGTTAGGATTTCTCTCAAATCCACTATCATTGCCCCAAAATCGGGCAAAACCAAATTACAGAAAGAACACAAATGTTCAGTTGTTCAAACCACAGAAAAAGGCCCTCAGAAGTTACATCCCAACCTCACCAAAAGGTGGATCTTTTCACTCTCACACACTTTCAACAATTTCACTATGAAATTAAAAAGAGATTCATCCAAAAGATTAAGAGAGTACAAAGAAGAAGAACCGCCGTAACCAGAGAGAAAAATTAGAGCGCGTTTGGTTTGTCGTTTTCAAGCC